TGCTTTCTCTCTCTCTCGCTCTCTCTCTTTCGTTTTCTCTCTCGCTCTCTCATTCTCTCTCTCATCTCTCTCTTTCTCTCTCTCCCTCGCATCTTTAACTTTTCACCGTACATTTAAATATTTCTTAAGTTTCACACCCCGAACCATGAATCACGTGCTCCGTCCCCTCTTGTCTCTAGCTCTCTCTAGGCTTCTCCACGCTCCATCCTATCCCCGAAAAGGGCAAGATGTCCCCTGGAAAATCAAAAGCAAAAGAAGCAGCAAGGGGACATCGCATCGTCGAGATAGAAAGAAAGGCACAGACTCACCCAAAAAGAAGAAGCAATTTGCCCTAAACCCTTTGGAGGCGCCCCATCTTCTCCAGTCGACGCTCCTCTCACTCGGCGTGTCACTCCCGAATACCCGTCCGATGCTTTCCGATTGTCTACGGATTTGAGCACGACAGGCAGATTTATTTTAATTTCTCACTTACGATTTTTAACTGTTTCTTTCTCTTTTGTCTACTCTCGCTCTCTTTGTGTATCGTGCTCGTTTCTGTCGTTCTGTTTTCTGCTGTGCTCAGGCAAGTTCTCGAACTGGCTACCGCTACTGCTCTTTTATTTGAAATTCTTTATCTGTTCGTTCACGCTCTCAGTGTCTCTCGCTTCCTCTCTCTATCTCTCTCTCGCTCTCGCTCTCTTTCTCTCTCTCTCTCGCTATCTTTCCCTCTCACTCTCGCCCTCTTTTCTTTAGCTATCCTTTTACCTCTTTCACTTCTCGGCGTACCGTTGCGTACCGTATTTGGTATTTCCGAAAGTTAAGCAAAAAATTTTGGTGTTCTATCAGGCGCTGGTCACCCCTCACTCCATGTCACTCCTGAATACCCGTCCCCTGCGTCCGTTTGTCTGCCCATTTGAGCGCGTCCCTCACAGATTTGCTATAAGCCCCCTGGTGGTGTTGGGCCCGAAATTTGATTAGTTTCCTGGGGTGGCGCAGAAGCTGTGTCGGCTCTTTATAGCCCCCGTTTCCGACCAACAACCCTACGGGTGGACACGATGTGCCACTGTGGGATTTGTGTCTCTTTTTGGTGCTGTTAATCGTCTTCTTAGTCGTCTCGTCGGTTTTCTGATTCTTTAGATGCGTTTGAAATTGTTGTTTCTTGATTTCCTGATTTTCTCTCTTGTTTTATGTCTCAAATTCCCCCTTTCTGTCGCTCTCTATCTCTCTCCCTTTCTTCCTGCCTTTTGTTCTCGCGTCTAATCTATTTTCCACTGGCCTCCTAAAAAGTGATTTTGAATTTCCATTGGACTGGGAAATGACGATAATTGTTTCCAGCCCCGGGCTTCAGGTTTAAAAGAACAACTCCCCTTTTTTCGAGAAACCTTACAAGATAAAGTTTCCGGGTGACTTCTTGATGACGCTTATATCATCGCAATTATGCCATATTCGAGGTCAGATTCAGGATTTCCTCAACAATCGTTGCTAGTTGTCCTTCTCAAAAATTCCTGGTCTCAATTCCTAAACAGCTCTCTCTCGTCCTCGATGACGCTGAACTCCTTGAAAACCCGTCGCCTTTCTTTATGGGCGCTTCAGAATTTCTCCAAAAATTTATACTAGTTTGCTTCATTAAGCATATCTGAAGAGCTTGTTTTCGAAGAATACATCGATTTGTCATTCTTCCGAATGTAAGACATTAAACACCCTGCTTCGGATATTCTACCGGTTAATCCGTGTTTGTTGCTTTGTTCGGTTTTACTCGAGCGTTTTCTCCCGGCCTAATCCACATTTCTTTGTCATTGGTGTGCAGCCGGATGGCCGGGGTCTGAATTTGACGCCTGTTTTCCGGAAGTGATTGGGACGATGTCTGGGGGTTTGAGTGATGGGGTCTATTAAGACGCGAATGATGGATCTTGGAAATTGATATTCTCAGGGTTTTCGCGAAGGCGGCCAAGGTTTGTGTAATTTTTGCCTTTAATGGCCCTTTAAAATATTTTTTAGCTGAAAATGATGCCAATTTTTTTAATGCACCGTTTTAATGCGCTTTCCATTACTTTGCCCTTGTTACCGACAAGATCCGATAAATTCGATGTCTGGCGAGTTGCAAATGTCGTAATTTATCCGAATTTTGCCTTCCACATCCAACGCAAAATTCGCAAATTATAGGCTTGATTCTGGATTTCAATTTTTGCAGATCTTAAAAATCATTTGGATTTCAACGGCTCTTTAAACTGATCATTCCTATTTTTTTGCGCGTGGAATTTGACGTTTGAACACCCTTACGCTAATCAATCTCAATTCCCAACCCCAAAGTGGTCCAATTTCTGACCACTATATATCCCTGCCTTGGCTCACCCTTTCAATCCCTGTCAACCCCCATGGGCCACCAATCTCCGGTGTGGCCACAGCCGAGATTTTTCCGGGCTTTCTATAATGCAACTGCCTTCCCTTTGGCCTTTTGCGTGGCCACACTGGGCCCCAAGGGTCAATCCCATAGAGACCCCCGACGGCAATTTGTCTCAAATCCCCTTCTTCTTTGGGCGTGTGTCGACATTCACTTGGGCAATTGGGCATCTCTCTCTCTCTCTCTCTCTCTCTCTCTCTCTCTCTCGCTCGCTCTCTCCGTTCTTTTTCTGTGGCTAATGATCCGCAATCTTGGGTCCCCGTTCGTAGCGATGGCCACGTCAGGAATGAGGAACCCCGGTGAGGCCTGACATTAGCGCCAATGTTTCATTAGTGCGCAGATCGTTTTTCCTACAGTATCGCAGTAAAGGGACGGGTAAAGGCAAGGTTTAGATTTTTTGATGTCTTTTATCGTCCAGTTGATCAGGCAATTTTTCCGGACGAAATGGTAATATACGCAGTTACGTGGGTTACTTGCGGCTAAACTTTGTGAAAAATCCATAGCGCTGCCTTTCGCGTCCCCTTAAACATATTTCTTCACTTTTAATGGTATGCATATTCTTAATTTTTATTTAAACTGAAGTAAACTAGCTTTTTATTCTATAAAAAAATAGTTCCGGCCTCGATTAAACCCATTTTTCCGATCCAAGATCAGAAGTAGATTTTTACAAACGCTTTTTCCTATTTTTTTTTCCTTTCTGGCTCCCTCTAACCATCTGTATATTTCATTCTGGCCACCCGCCCTCCTGCTTCTTCTCCTCCTTTTATTCGGCTTCCAAGGTGGAGCTTCCAAACGTGTCTCGTCCTCCCCCCATTCCTAAATAATGGGAATCAAGAATTCGTCTCGAGACCCCCACGAGGCTTCTGGGGTTTTTGATTCTGCTTTTGCTATGTTTCTAGACAGGCCGGGATTTCGCAGAAGATCCATGGTTTTTGAACTATATGTAAAGGTATTTTTCGACTTTCTGAAGCTCGTGCTCAATTTCGGCTTTAGCTAGGAACATAAGCCGAAGCAAATTTCATAAAGCTAAGGCTCAATGTTACGCCCTCTCACTCGCGCCATCACTGTTGCTCTCTCGCTCTCCGAAGACCATAGATCACCTAAATTCTAAGTTCTACTTCCATTTATGTAAGTCGACCTCGTGAGTTTCAAATATTTCAAAACAGGTTGTAGTTAAGCTGCAAAGCTCGCACTCCAACTCACTTGACATCAAGCCCTCCATGAGTTCGTGTAGACCCGCAAAATCTATGAGATTATCCGGATCACCTACGCCGCCCCAGCTGCTGGGCCCTAATCCAGCCATCGACAATTTTAGAATAGAGACAATGGAATGAATAAGGGGCTTCCCAGACAACCATATCAGAACTCCCTATGCACTACGGGTGGAACCTGTGAACGGCCGTTCTGGGAACGGCTTGGCGCTTGATATTTTTGGTACATGAAATGCGGATTTTCGTGATTCTTCTTTACTTTCGTATTTTATTTATTTATTAGTGTATTTTAATAATTGTGTAAAATTTTATTTGGATCTTCTGCCTTTATAAGACCTCTAACACGTGGATGTTTTAAAGTTTCAAATTTTGTCGACATTTCTGATTTGTGGATTTACGATTTGGAATTTTGAATCTTTGAAACAATGGAGTGCTATGTTGGCTTCATGTTTTTTTTTTGCTAAAAACTATTCGTTTGCGAAAATAATTTTTAGCGTATTTTCTTCCCGGTTTTCATTTTCTATTTAGTCACTGCTTTCCGCTTTACAGCGGACAAAATCGGGAATTGGGGCTGACACTCCACCGGGAAATCCGTGCCCTCGCCTTCCAAAAATTGCTCGGAAATTGACCGTAAATCGGTAATAAAACGTGAGGCACAATTTTTCCGTATCTTTCGGACCGCGGGGAGTTGATTCTAAATCGAGCCCGGAGTTTGGAGGCCGAGAGTCCCCCTCACCTGGTCCTGTTGCTCCTGAAATTGCTCGCCCTCGCGCGAATGTCCCATAAACGGGCTGTTTGTCGCCCACACAAATTCGACCCGGCCAGAACCCGCCAGATTTGCCGGTGAGGAAATTTCGCAACGATCCTCGGTTTTTGATGTTCTGTTCTTTTGATGGTTGTTTGATGATTAGGATGGAAAATATGCTCAAAAGATTTTGCAAAGCTTTTTTTGAAATTTTTATAGGGTCTAGGACGTCAATTTGAATTTGTTCTTTGTTGCCCAAATCTTTTTATGAGTTTAAGCTGGCCTGATTGATTTTTACGCTTTCCCGCGTGCATGGCACGAGTGGTTTCGATGAGCCTCACCTTTGAAGGTCCCGTCCTTTCGTTCATGCGCATTTTTGTGTCCCCTGATCTTCTTTTCCTTTTTCCAACCCATCATCAATTTTCATCGCTTTTCATTTCGATTTTCTCCACCCTCGTAATTATTCATGAACGCTTCATCATCATTTTTTGTTACCAAAAAAAGCGAATCGTCCATTGCCTTGATTTTTTTATAATCTTCTTTTCATTTCGATTTCTGATTCAGATTTCTGGAAAATTGAGAACGTTTACACCAACTTTCGATTTCAGGCCAATACATCGACCCCCGGGAGGGAGCTTCATTTTACCTTTTGAAACCCCGGGCTATGGGCCTCGTCCAGGTCGAGCAAGCCACCTGCGCCAGCTTGACGAGCCATTTTGGGACGAATTACAGTGATGGGTTGGTTTTTACGCATACTAGGACTTAAATTAAGTAGGAGCGTAGAAAAAAGTACTAACGCTAAAGCAGAAAAGGTCTAAAGATAGGGTTCAGTTGCGGCGTCGACTTCGACCGATCCCTCTGCTGGCAACCGGCCAAATATGGCGAGGTTGCCGAGCGAAGTTGCCCCTTCACCTATTGCCCCGAGGTGCCCGGATGCGCGGAGTTGGCCAGTAAGTTTTTTCTGACCACGTGTGGTAATTTACCGTCCAATCAATGGTATTAGTATTCGCTGAAAAGTGTATTCAAAGTCTTAACAAAAATTTACTAAACTAAAGCTACTTTTATCGACGCCATTCAGAAAGCCTCGTTCTACGAACATGCCTCACGACCGGTTGGAATAAGACGGACTACGGGCAATGTATTAATATTATCAAGGACCACCGAGAATGTATAGTCGGCTTTTGTAACCGGGTACGTTCGAATTGTTAATTTTTTTGAATTGATAAATTTTTGTACGATTAGGAGGTCGCTTGCTCAAAAATGCTAAAATTACGCGCTTTTTATGTAGTTTTCCTAAAAACGGCTAGATTTTGATTTTCCTGCTTTACCAATTCCTCTTAAAAATATTTTATTTAGTGTCCTGACACGATGCGTGACATCGTTATCGCCGTCTCCCTGACGTTATCCGTCATTTCGGTGGTCCTTCTGCTCGCCGCAATTATTTTATTCTCCATCTTCGACTCGATCCAGTGCAGAAGGTGGGTTTCATTCTCTCTCTCTCTCTCTCTCTCTCTCTCTCTCTCTCTCTCTCTCTCTCTGTCTCACGCTCTCTCTCTCTCTCTCTCCATCTCTCTCTCGCTCTATGCATTATTTTCAGATTATCAATCCACAAAAACCTCGCGGTGGCCTTCGTTTTTCGATTCATCTTCCTCGGAATTTGGACGGTCACCCAGAATTCGGCAGCGTTCAACGACTGCAATCTGTATTCCGGATATATGCACCATTTGGTGAGTTTCCATAAAGTCAGTGAACGCCATTTGATATCGCGTAATCGATTGTTTTGGGTTAAAATCTTCATTTACACAACCTGAATACCATCCCAATTTGTAAAAAATCCTGGTCCTTGGAAGCGCGGGGCGACAGACTACGTGTTTTTGCCCGAAGCTTGAAAAGCGTGCGACCTCTTGTTCCGCATTCATCAATTCTAATTGGATCTTCTACGAAGGGGCCCTCGTCGTCGGCTTGTCGAAAAGGGCCCCTTGGGGTGAAAAGCAAGGGGAAAGCGCATCTCCCGTTTTTCTGGCGCTAGTGTTCCTTGTCTAGCCGTTTGGGGCTGTGAGCGTTGGACGATGATAAAGTGGACTTTGGGTTGATGATTTTCGGGGTTTTTAACTCTTGCTCGAACGCATCTTCGACGTTTTGAGGGATTTTGAGGCTGTCGGAAAACTCAAACCCGTAAAGGGACGCAGGAGGCACGTATTTTTATGGGTTTTGCCTTACGGAAAGGAAATCCATAGCGAATCAAATTCTCGTAGCGACTTCTCGAGCCTTTTAAAGGGACTGGCAACCCATGGAACCTCTGTAGATTTTTTCCCCGAATGCAAGATCGTCTTTGATTTGCGTAATGGATTAGGAAACGTTGGCGAGCGCCATATGCATATTACGATGAAATCTATCAGGGATCCTTTTATGAACTTAATAAAAATAACAATCGTATCCCTTTGTATAATTTTGGACGTGTAATTTGATGCCCAACGTAGCTTTTCACACCTAGTCCGGATCAGGCCGCGATTCCATCACTCGGCAGCCCCATTATAGCTAAAAAACTGGTCTTTTGCAACGCTCTCATAAAGTTCCCTAACCCCAGTGATCCCGATTTCCTAGCAAAACACTTTCTTTTCATCCTCGACCTCCCCAGCTTCAGACACATTCACCCTAAAAAAACAAGTAAACACGCGCGAAACCCGTTTGAAGATAACAAATAGACACCCTTCCAAGTCTTCACAATCCAAAACCCAAGTAGAGAGAGAGAGAGAGAGAGAGAGAGAGAGAGAGAGCGAGTGAGAGAAAGAAAGAGAGAGCGACGCCCCGGGCGGAAACCTCAGAAAAACATCAAAGAAAGGCCGAAAAAGCTGTCCAAGAAAGTATGAAAGAGCCAAGAAACAAGGAGGATGGGGCATCGAGTGGTCGGAGAAAAATGTGTTTCCTTTCTAGAGGGGGCCATTCTTGGGGCCCTGGGCCCTTAGTCTTAGGGCCCGTGTCTTGTGCAATGACTTATGACTGCAGGATTAGATGAGGGGGCCGGATTGCGTCCGAGAATAGAATAGTTGGGGCCGAGTCTTGGCCATATATCGTGGGAAGGGGTAGAAGAAGTAAAGAATAGAAGTGGAGAGTTGCGTTTACTTGCTGGGGGACCGCGAAATTTTGTTTTAAAGGAACTGAAAAGTACGAAAATTCTACCCTTGATGTCGACAGGGGCTCGACAGGTCTGGAGCCACTAAAAAACGCTCTAAATCATGTCTACATGCGTTATTGAATGTACCGCGTATTGTCGAGACCTAGTCGCTGATAGGGGTCGATTCTTTGCGCTTTCAAGCCTTTTGAAGGAGCGTAGAAAGCAGGGCCATGGATTTTCGTGGCTATGGATTGATCCGCGCGCAGATAAATTGCGTAATGTGTACGCAATCTATCTTTACGAACTACGGTATTACGGACCTGAAATAACAAAAATGTTAAATTTTACAAAATCAGAAATTACTGAAGAAATTCTTGTAAAATTTTTACGCCAATCACCATAAAATTCCCGATTTTTCAGGAATGGCTCTGCAAATCTATACTTTGGTGCGTCATCTACTTCCAAGTCGCGTCAGTGATGTGGATGCTGATCGAGGGGGCATATCTCTACTCTCGTTTTACCGTATTCGCCATGCGACACAGCGACGCACCATACGCGATCTACATGTTTTGTGGTTGGGGTACGTTATCTACAATAAACCTACGAAAATCCTTTGCGCTTAAAAAATGAGAAGCTAACACTATGTCTGGAAACTCGTATGATTTGATAAATATAAAAGTTTCCAAAAGTTACGATATTTTTCAGGCGTCCCCGCAATCGTCGTGATGGCCTGGACGATCATCCACCACTTCAAAATGCAAAATGTAGCCGATGGATTTTGCTGGTTACCATATGCCCAAGGACCGCATTTGTGGATCTTGGCTGGGACGATGGGCCTGGCATTGATTGTACGTTTTTCAGGCGTCAACTGTATGCATGCTTGATTTAGCTCAATCTCGTCTTCCTGCTCCTAATCGTCGCCATCTTGGTTCAAAAACTGAGGACAGAAAACACGGCTGAATCCAAAAAGATTTGGTGCGTTTCCGATATAGAGAAAACAGAAAGAGAGATAACGACTAATTTCGATTTTTCAGGAGAACGATCAAAGCGACGCTGCTGCTCGTGCCGTTGTTAGGAATCTCAAACATTCCTCTTTTCTACGAGCCCGAAAATCGGACAGCGTTTTACATGCTCGGATCTGCGATACTTCAGCACTCACAGGTATGAGAGAGTGAGAGAGAGAGAGAGAGCGAGAGAGCGAGAGAGAGCGAGATGGAGAGGGATACTGCCAGAAAAGGGGATAAAGAGAGATCAAGAGAGATAGGGAGAGCGAGAGAGAGAGAGAGAGAGAGAGAGAGAGAGAGAAAAAGAGCGCGCAAGAGTGAGGGTGGAAAAACTTTTACACAAAATTGAAAATCTTTTTTCAGGGTATCTTCATCGCCGTCCTCTACTGTTTCCTCAACTCCGAGGTGCAGAACGCGATCAAGCGGCACACCAAGTTCAGCAAGCTCCCAATCGCCAACTATTTTGTGTGAGTCCGCATGGTCCGCGCCGCGTTGGTGGTGTGTCGTCGAAACGCTTGGCCCCACAAAAACGATATGATTAGCATTTTTGGGCATTTTCTAACCCTTAATTGTAGCTCACACCCTTTTTTGCACAATTCCTTTATGCTTATGCAATTTATGCCATTGCAAAGATATGCTAATTCGCACTAACACACCCTTTTTGTGCCGGGAATATGCTTTAGAAATGCACCTATTTTACCGCAACCTTTTTTTAATTGATTTTAACACATTTTTGAGCTGCTTATGGCTAACCCAGTGATGGTGATTTGATTTCTTTCCTTTAGCACTTTGGTATTTAACCCTTAGATTATATATTTTTACTGAAGTGGTAGATACCTATTTTTTTACATGTCTGGCCGCTGGACTAACGATATTGTATGGCTTTTTTAAGTTTGTAAAAGTTTAATTTATGTCATCTTTGTCGAGCAACGGGGCTTTCACACCCAATCCAGGTTTTCGAGCATAGCAATTCTGAAAAACGAGATTAGACTATTGAATAAGAGTTAAATAGTAAAACCATAAAAATGGGAAACTTAGTTTTAAACAAAAATTACAGATTTGAAGTGATTTGCACTCGCTGCTCAACTTTTACGGAATTTAATTTTCATCATTCTGATAAGGTACTTTTTATATACACTTAAACTGGAAGAAGTGGTACTAGTTTGGATAATCGTAGCATTTCTATTAAAATTCCTTTTCTCCTCTGCGAAAATTCTGATGTAATCAAAATTTAGAATGATAGATTTGTCGGCAAAACAACTTTACTTTTAATTTTAAAATGTATTTCCAAATTCAATGCTAATTTAACGTCCTATTAGTTTCAAAAATCGGTTTTGGCTCCGCGTAATTAACCCATTTTGTATGTGAGCCAAAAAAGCTGAAGGTATGTTTAGAACAAGCTTAAAATGGTAGCTTAAATGCAGGATTCAGGCATTGCACCAATTAACATAGAGCTAGTATCGAAGGGCGTAATTTTTAAGGTTTAAGGCTATTAGCTGTAACTCCCAAGTTCTTAAATTGAACGTTATGGCATAAGCCCAAATCCGAAGCTAAGCTAGGGCTTTCATTAGCTTCAAAAACCAAAATTCCATGCTAGATTCCATGATTTTTAACTTTAAACAAACAATGTTGCTCAAAAATAACTCACCTTTTGTGCCATCCAGCCAAACAAGCTTTCCGGCGACGACACCGACCAAGTAGCATGCCCCACCCCACTGTCGTGTCCGCCGCCAAGCAGACGGTCTTGCTTCCACATTCCAGTTCAGGGGTCGTCGGCAACGCTTTGAAACTGAGCGAACATATGTTCCACCTGACAACCAGTCCACGGCCACAAACCACAAGCTAGGTACGGTAATGTGCATTGTGGTGCGGAGAGGATATGCGGATATGCGGAAGATGCTGAAAGGAAAAATGAGAATCCTGCCCGAAACAATCGGAGAAAAACAGATTAACTCGAATTCGAATTTTAACACTCTTTAAACTCTTTTAAAGGCACTCGGAAGGCAAGATTCCAATAGATTTTTCATTTTCGTGGACCCCCGAAGCCTCTATAATGACTAGAAACTTACAAAAGTACGCTTATAAGCCTCCAAAAATGCTAAATTCTAATTTTAAGCGTAGAACAAGTCTAGATGCACATCGGAAGCTACATATTCTGGGGATTATAGTTTCTCGCATTTCTCCAGCTTTCTAAAACAACCAAAATGCGCGGAATTCGTTCGAAAAAGCTAGAAAAATTAAACGGGAGCGGAATATAATATTGAGTTGCAGTTGCAGTTATAAGAGTTGCCAAAACCCAGAATTACCATTATTTGCCTCCCAAGTCCCTTTAAAGTTTTCAAAAAAGGAAATTTAGTTAAACAAATTAATCATCTTTTCGATTCAGTCCTGATTACATTCAAGAGGTATGCGTTAGGGAAATTCGCAATTACCATACGTGCCGCTTAAAATTAGAGACGTCTTTGGCAATTTACATAGCTCGTTCTAGACGAAACCTACTAAAAGTTTTGACACTAACCAGGTGCGGTAGAAAAAATTCTTAGAGTTACTTAAAAGTTAAGCGAACGAGCAGTAGTCATTAAACGGAGTGCCGCGTAGTTCTAACAAAACTGCTTCAAACGAATTTTCAAAAATCTTACAAAATCCTATTTAAACAAATTAAATTTCATGTAAAAAAATTCCCTGTATGGCCCTCCCCAAGCCAAAAATCCTTGTCGTCTCTCCCGAGCATCAAAAAGCTTTCCATATACCGTAATGTCCTACCAAAAAGTGTCCCCCATGTTTTGTCTAGTTTTTCTATATGTTCAAATGTGTTTGCGAAACGATAGCACACTATGATTTTGAATCTTGATTTAATTTCTACACATTCTATCCCTAAAACAACCCCCTCAAAACTTTCCTTATCAAACTACCGTAACCTAATTTACCATTTTTCGTTAATTAAAATACCTAATTTTTCCAAATAACGATGTAATCATGATTTAAATAGGCTAAAAATATGTAAAATCAAGCTCTCAACTTTTGGCCTCTACGAAGTCGCGAAAATTTATATAGTGGAAACGTCTTTATCAGTCTTTTAATTCTTTTTAGTTTTTAGACTTTTTAAACTTTGAAGGAAGGCAAAATCATAATCCGAAATCATCCAAAATCTATCTATACCTTTAATCCTTATATTCCTAAAACACTAAAAATACCCCCATTAATTCAGAGCCAATCCCGGAGCACTTGCAAGAGTCCCAGACAACCCCAAAGCTCGGTTCGTTCACACAAAAAAACTGCCTCCAAGTTTGCGTTTCGTTGCGGAATGGAAATTTTGAATGCAAAATGAGGCGGCTGAACAGATAGCCGGAATTTGACCCCGGGCTTCGCGCATGAGTTTTGGCTTTCAAATGGTCCCATTTTTGGACCGAGAATTTGGTTGGGCAGTAGATGATTTATGTCCAAAAAATGCCGATTTGGAAATGCCGACAAGTCCAATTGCTGACAGCCGTAAGAGCCGGCATTTCAAGCGGGGACATACCGGAATGTCAACCGGAAAATACGGAAATACCGAGAAGCTAAGATGCCGACAAAAAAATGACAAAGAAAAAGTGCCACACGTGAGATGAAATTAGGACAAGGAGCGCTTTATTTTCATCTATTTGCGTGTCGGCATTTTCTATGTTGGAAGTTTAGCTGTCGGTATTTTTTCAATCGGCCTTCTAGCTGTCAGTATTTACCATGTTAGCATTTGGCTGTCGGTATTTTCAAATTCGGCATTCTGCTAGTCGAAATTTTGATTATCGGAATTTGGCTGTAGATGGAAATGAGGAGATTGGCTCAAACCCGCATGACAATTTGCATATGGTGAATTTTATTCTGATTTTTAGGCGTTCCTATGGCGGAATTGAACGGGACGGCGGCGGATAAGTCGCCCAGCAAAGATTCGATGTCGAATGGGACGAGCGCAAAGTTGGAACCGATCCGGGAAAAGGATGACGCGGGCAGTCAGGAGTTTAGCTAACGTTTAAGTATACGAAATTAGAGTTAGAACGGTTTTTTGTATATTTTTTAGGGAAGAACTACTTGGAAAGTGTGGGAGGGTTGAGAGGCAATTTGTAGCCTGTCGCGGGTTGAATCTGAAAATTGCTAAGATTAATCACTCTAAAATTTATCAAAAAACTTTTTTGCGACATCATGAACCCAAAAAGTTTTTAATTTGTAACGAAAATTAAATTTGCAGAACATTTAAATAGTTTGTAGTCAAATTTTGTAGTTTCCAACCCCAGAGTTCAAACTACCACTTTTGAGACGTCCATGATTACTAGAAAATTCTGAATTGACTACAAACTACAAACATCAACAAGCCATTGAATGGAATCATTAGGCTACAAGCTCGAAATTAAAAGCAGAAAAACTTCCAGACTACAAAACAAATAACTTTCCGGCATATGAAGGATTAAGCGTGGATAGATGCTAAACTACAAGCTGGCTACAAACTCCAGCATACTCAGCTATAGACTACAAAATACAATAAACAGGGACTAAGAACTGCAATTTACATTGAATTACTTAAATTCAGTCAAAAATTCAGTAAGATCGTAGCTTAAAACGTGTAAAAAAGGTCGTATAGTATGAAATACCGGCTACAAACCCGAAATTGAGCCGCATGGCTACAAACTACAGCGACGAACTAGGTAACTCCTTAAATTCAACGCAACGCATGGTTAGAAAATAGCTCGACTCAAGCTACAAATTCTAGCTAAAATTTCGATACAAAAATCCCTGTACATAGATCAAGACGAAAAACCAAAAGCTCGCCATATTTTAAGGATTTCTTCCCATTTTTCTCAAAAAAAAACCAAAAATGCCTGACCAAACGCCAAACACACGTCATCCTCTCCTCCCGGGTCGCCCAATCATAACTCACCAAAAATATTTTTGATTTTTACTGTATCCCATATGCAAATGTGTCAAAGAAACCGTCTCCCCCCATCGGGTCCCCGCTTGATTTCACGGTGCTTTTTTTGGAAGTATTTTTTGTATTTTTCCCTGATCTCTGGATTTTAAAATTGCCCTTTACAGCGCCCAGCCGATCCCCCACCCTCAATTCACTTCTGGAATCGATTAATTTCATTTGTATTTTTGGCAGAATGCCAAGTAAGTCGATTTAACCCCTTCAGATTACTGTACGATGACCGGTTTCTCGTTTTTCTTCATTTCTACTATATTTCCTGACACCAACTGCGCACTCCGTGTACACAAAATACAGTCTGATAAAGATTTTTCTATACGTTGATGAAGCAGGAAATGCAATTTATTTGAGCGACACACAGAGAGAGAGAGAGAGAGAGAGAGAGAGAGAGAGCGAGTTAGAGAGGGAGAGAGTGAGAGAGAGCGGCAATGCGAGAAACAGCCCGAGAAAGTTAGAGCGACGGCGTGAGAGAAGAGAGAGCAATCCATAGAGAGAGCGAGGGAGAGAGGGAAAGAGCGAGACAGAGCGAGAATCGGATGGAAAGCGAAAGAAAGTTGGAGCAAGAGCAAGGGAGAGAGAGTGAGAGAACGAGAGCGAGAGAAAGAGCAAGAATGACTGTGAGAGAGTGAGAGCGAGTGAAAGAAATCAGCTTGCTACGTCGAAATTGGTAGGGTGGGACGAGTTAAATAGTTTTCATCACATGTAATTTTATATTACGAGAATAAAATTAAATTGACATTCTACATATTTTCCGGAGCTGGCTTATTTGTGTAATAAAAATTTGCCGTTTTCTTATTTACTATATTTGCGAATACAGTGGAAAATTTTAGTGTCTTTTTGAAGCCTTTCTACGTCAAAAAGACTGGTTTTCCAAGAACATTTTCAAGGATTTTACTTAGCTTCGCAATCACAACTTATTTTGAGTTTCGGTGCAAAATCGCCAAAAATACATCAAAAATCACGAAAAATCTCAAGTTTCGGGAATTTTGTGAAGGGAAGATAAGTTTTGATTTCTTGCCGATAGGAGACTAAATACCTGGCTTAGTTTTGATTATTTTTCGATGATTTCATACTTTCGAGCCTCGTCTCCAACCCTAGCAACTTTTCCCAGCTGTGGTGTGTGGTGGTGAGAGCTCTTGCTGGGTGGTGGGGGATAATGGAGGGAGCTGAATATGGGATAATGGCCTTCAGGAGGGGCCCCATCTGGGTCTCAACCCCCTTTTCCTACCTGCAATTTGTCGCTCAACCTCTGGCCCGTGGAGCTGGCACACTAGACAACTGGCAGATAGAAAAAGCGCCCCCTCATTCCGCCACACTCCACCCTATCGATGGCATGACGTTACGTACGGCATTTTTTCAGGGAGTTATTTCAGGGGGCAGTGGCTGTCATTTGCATCCATGTCTGGTTGAGGCACAGTAGCTCACTTGCAAAAGTTGCCTAAAATTTTTGAGTGTAAGGTTTTGTAAGGCTGCTCGAAACAATGAGAAGTTTCAACCGTGTCACTGAGTGCAAAAATCATACTACGTGGCTCTCCAAAAATTAATTTAGTTTTGGTACCGGTTTCCATTAGCGGGCCGGATGCGAAAAATCAGAGGCCGTTTTGGGTACTGGACCGTTAGCGGGAGGGAGAGAAAAATTGTTGTTTTTCCGATTTTACTTGTGGATCAGATATAATTTATTTTTACAGTAATTTTTGTGGTTTCAAATCCCTGGAAAGGTATATGAAAGTTTAACTCGAAGGTGTTACTTTTGATAGCCATTTTTCATAATGTATTGACAAAATTTTCAAAAATTTTTGAAGTTTTGAGAACTTTGATAAACTTTTGATATATTCTATCTTTGAAAACTATTTAAAATGCTCTGTATTTTGTTAATCGCCCGTACAGAATGACTGGAACAGATTTTAGAATTATTAGAATGATGTCTAGAAAATGTTTGGAAAAAATTGTTGCTTCCCGTATTTGAAGGTGCGCGTGAGGCGTAAAACTCACGCTTCGCTTTTGATCTTTTTTTAAGTTGACGAAATACTTTAACCACTACTTTTACTGAAACTACACTGAAAAAAGGTATATAAAATTTTGAAACCTCAAGATTTTTTACTTTTGTTGGACATTTTTTTATACATTTTTGACTAACCAGTCAAAAAATTTTGAAAGTTTTTATAATTCTTTCCTTTTTAATTTTATTTAAATCACGCTGCGCATTCACTCATTTAAGATAGGTAAATGCTTTAACGATCACTTTTATCTATAAAATAGTGGCTTGAATTCTCTCCACTCGTTGATGGGTTTGCTGTGCTTATGTAGGATTCGGTGTTTGCGTGGGTGGCCTGTCGGTGTGATGGCCTGGAAAAGGCGGCTAATGGATTATTGTGTTTTTTCGGCTCCTCGGGTCTCAACAACATTGGCTAGCTGAGCGTCCTTTGATCTGATGTTCCCTCCTCCCTGAATACCAAACCTGATGTCGTCATCCCTTTTCCGCAACACTCCTCATAACGGAACAGCCCGTTGTTTATGGATCTGTGTGGGTGTTTCTCAACAGACCAAGGGGGGCCCCGATAGCCAGCCAATTATCCGTGCCGATCTACCCAAGGGCCATTCGTCAGGATCCCATTTCTCCTTGGGCCAACAACCAAATCGTCTACGGCTCTCCCCTCATCTATCTGCTCGGTCTATATTTTTTTTGTTCGTGCTGCGGTATCTGGCCCCAGCTAAGGAGCTTGGCAGCTGGGTCTAGAGCTATTCGGGAGGGCACACATACGATGAATTATGGCCTGAATCCGGGCCCGCTAGGGGCCCAGATTGGGGCCCAGAGAAGGGGGTGTGAGGGCCAATGAGCCGATCTGGGGGGCCAGGGCTGCTTCTTTACACGCCCCCACCTGGTGGGGGGATACACGAATTTGGACACGCGGGATAAAGCTATTTTTGGGGGTTCGGAAGTGATATTTTTGGGCTAAGATTCTCAGGGTGGTCCGTTTTGACTGTTTGACGAGGTTTTTTTGAGAAATGGAAGATTCTAAGTTTCATAGAGTAATTTTGGAAATTCTTAAAGAATTACTCCCGCTACATCCAATATGCAATATCCAATTTTCTACCTTCTGATTTTTCTTTAAAATTCATAAAAATGCCGGAAACTCTACAATAGATATTGGCAGACAATCCAATGGTACGCTACGTACCTTTATTTTGATACGGTATGTTTGTGTGGCCTGGGAAAAGGCAATGTCCTTTTCAAAAAGTCCTTTCATACACTTGCTACTGCGTATTCTTGCTTTTTGGGGGTGTATGCATTTTTCAGAACCAAGTCATTATTTATACTTGATGATCCGCTTTTTTTACCCATTTCCAGCAGGATCTTTGCTAGATTGCCTCCAGTAAGGACCCACATGGACCCTGAATAGAAGCTTCAAGTATAATTTATGAGAGCGGGTAGCTCTCACATCTGGGAAATGAAAATGAAAGAAAATGAAAAATTAGTTGGTCTGGTATTGCAGGGCCATGGCTTTTTCTTTACATCTGGTGGTCGGTAGATAGACAATTTGAATCTACAAATTCGCAAATTGCAAATTTTTTGTCGTCACGTCGCGAAATTGAATGTGTTTCCATTGGCTTATTTTGGTGATCATTCAATCTTTTTTCGAAATATACCCCTCCACTCTCCTTTAGAAATCTCACTAGAGTCCCGCTCTACCTGGAGAAGAAGAGGGGACCGAGAAGCGGTGTAAGCACGGGAAGGAAACTAGTTTCCTGCCCCGCAAAACTCGCATCATTTCTCTTCAATTTTTGAGGTCTCTGGAATCAGTTATTGCAGGCGGCTGTAATCAGCTATTCATATGCGTTAGGAGGGAATTGTTTTTTTTAATTTAGTGAGCGGCCTAACCTAACCTAACCAAATCATTATTCAATTGAATTTAAAGGTGCAGCGCAAGTAATAGTTTTGCATAGATTTAGCTTGGATCGGCTTTGCATTTCCTATCGGCTTGATTGCGTTCGAGCCATTCGTCTACGTTTTGTTGCGTAAAGGATTACGAACTTCACTTATCGCAGCGGTCAAGCGTCGCGTTTCGAGCGGGGTTTTTCGTGCCTTTCGTGTTGCTTCATGCGTCATGTTGCGTATGGCGCCCTGCGTCGCGTCGTGCATGGCGCCACATACTTAGTTATTGCGCATAGCGTTGCGTACATACTCGTCGCGCGTCGCCTGACGTGCCGCGTCACTTATCGCATTGCGTAGACGCGCCCTGGGACGCGCGCCCTAGGCGCCTCAGGTGCAACGGCTTCTTAACTTTGATAAACTTTACGTTCTGCTTTCTGAACTCATCATCCTCAAAATCAGACACCCCCGATTTTTCACTTTTGATTTTTTGACCTTCCGCTTTTGAATGAAATCTATTCGAAGCGCAACGTCGTCTCCTTTTCCCCTTCCTGTCAATACCAAGGTAATTTTCGTGTCGTTTTGAGTGGGGAAGGGGCTGAATTTTCGATTATCTTTCGGGGAAGGTGAGGAGTAGAAAGGGGGTTGTCAAGTGCAGAGACGGGCAAACCCAGAAGCCGGGATTTGGCTGGGTGGCTGGCCCTTCAGAAGCGTCGTCGCCAAGCCGGATCTTCCTTAAGTTGGGTGTATCTTGCATAAAGGAGTATTTCGTTATAAAATAAATGATATTAACATCATCTTAAGACTAAAAGGTATTTATTTTAATCTAAATTAATTTGTACAAATTTCTCGAAAAAATGTTTGCCAATTTTTTATCGGTTTTTTCAAAAATGTAATTTTCTTGCTATTTTCGATGCAATTTTTTGCATGCTTATTTAAGGCAAGAATGATACCTAGAAACATTTTGCCCTGGTTTCTCAATTTTTAGGTTTTGATAGCAAGCTTAATAGCAATTTTCCACTATTTTTAATGACAAAAACAGAGCTGTTCCCCCATTTCCCTGCCCTCGCCAATTTGCCCAAAAACCCCTTGGAAACCCTGCTCATTTTCGCACCCTAATTTGGGATCATCAGGCTCACCGCCTTGTTGTTTTGCCATCATTTTCATTTTTCTTCTGCTTTTCTGCTTTTTAAAGGCAAAAGATCCTTTCATAGATTCTTCTTTCATTTTTTAGTACTTGAATTTTTGGGAAAAATGACGCTGCAAGACCTGATCGCGAAATACCGGGGCAACCGGAAGATTTTGCTGCTGATCGTTTACATTGCGTTGTTTTTGGATAATATGCTGTTGACAACAGTTGGTAAGAGGTCTCTAGTGATACCTTAAAAAACTTAAACTTTAGTCCCAATCATCCCAGAGTATCTGCTCCGGTTATCGCATCCGAACGAGACGGATCTGTTGCTTTATAACAAGGTAAGACGCATTAAAGGGGCGTGCAAGGCTTGGTGCTCAAATTTGCCGCCACGGTTTACATCGCGTAACGGATTACGACATACTTTCGGGCGAAAAACGCGCGCGTCACGTCGCGCGGTCGTGGGCAAGCCCTCCCTAAATCAGCAGCCGAGAAATGGATACCTGTGCCTGGCCTGCTCCTTTAAAAAAACTGAGAAAGACTCTAAATAAATCATAATTTATTATAAAAATAGTTATAAAATTTTAAATGCCTTTAAAAACCTATTTTTTTAGCCATCTGAAGTCTCCGATCACGTTCGAGGAAAACGCGGGTCCGGCTATTGGGATGAGAGTCAGGTATCGAAAAATTTTCAGCCTTTTAAAGTGTCCATAGGCCTTAAAAAGTGCAGCTTTAGATTCAAAACTCAAAAATCTATACTATTTTTAGGACTGGGACCTCCCAGTTGACGACGAGGATCGGAAAATTCCGTGGGAATCCAGCCCGTTGGGGCCGAAAAGCAAGAGCAAGACAAAGGGACGAACAAAGTCCAAGGCCAAGGTGGGGGAATCTGATTTATGCCATAAATATTTAAACATTTTAGAATCCCTTAGCACCAAAGACCAAGCAAAGACCGAAGCAGTCACCGAAAGATGAGGGTAAGGATAACCAGAAATTATTACAATTTGCTTTCTGAATTCGATGCTCCTTTAGGACCCCCACCTGGTGCTCCAGACAACGAACACCGGCATCAAGTCCTGGCAGAAGAAAATGTGCACGTCGGGTTGATGTTCGGTTCCAAGGCGTTGATCCAGCTTCTCGTCAACCCTTTGGTTGGGCCGATGACTAACAAGTGAGTGACAGAGAGAGACAGAGAAAGAGCGAGAAAGAGAGAGATAGAGAAAGAGAGAGCAAGAGAAAGAGAGGTACATCGTATACTTTAGAATTGGCTACACGATGCCAATGTTCTGGGGTTTTGTCATCATGTTCCTTTCGACGGTGATGTTCGCGTTCGGGTCTTCCTATGGAACTTTGTGGCTCGCCAGGGCGATGCAGGGTATTGGATCGGCTTGCACCTCGACCTCAGGCATGTTGTTTTGAATGGTGTTTACCGTTTCGGGTTTCTTCGACGGACATGAGATCAAGATTGAAAAATTCTTAAGGTATGGGAATGCTGGCCCAGGCGTATCCAGACGATGCCGAACGCGGGAGCGCTATGGGAATCGCTTTGGGAGGCTTGGCGTTAGGTAAGTTTAAGGTTAGGCTTATTCTTAAGCTATCGTAAGTAGCAATGTTCCTTTAGAACCCTGCGCTGCAAAGCAAAGTCTTGGCTTTTCCCCAAGGGTGTCTGCTAGCTTGCCCTGCTTTTGCGCACTTGAACGATAAATTTTAGGTGTGCTTGTGGGCCCACCCTACGGCGGAGTACTCTATGAATGGGCTGGAAAACCACTGCCTTTCATTCTGTTGGCCTTATTGACGTTATTCGACGGAAGTGGGTTTTTACAGGCCGTAGCTCTTCACCAAAATCTTTAAATAGCTTAAATTTACAAATCACTTTGAGAAAAATCTTAAATCTTATCTTTCCAGGTCTCCAATTCATGGTCCTCCAACCCAAAATCGATCGTGGCGAGCCGGAGGGTAGCTCGATGAAGCAGTTGGCCAAGGATCCTTATATTATCGTGGCTGCTGGTAGGTTTAACATCTTTGATTATTGTTGTATTTGCTTAATCTACCTTCACATACTTTTTAAAGGCGCCATCACGATTGGTAATCTTGGAATTGCCATGCTCGAGCCCTCACTACCACTTTGGATGATGGAATCGTGGCAGGCTGGGTCTTTTGAGAGGGGTAACGAATACTGTATAATTCAAGAAATTTGCAAAATTCTAATAATACTATGTAGTCTTCAATTTCCGCTTGTTTCTTTAATACAAACTAATTTAATAAATAGTTAAAAAAATTAATTAAACTGAATTTTCAGGTATCGCCTTCTTACCCGCTTCGATCTCGTACCTTGTTGGGACGAATATTTTCGGTCCTTTGGCCCACAAGATGGGACGGTAAGTTTTAGAAACCTGAAAATTTGAAAATGTATGCCGTAACTCGATCCATTTTTATGATGCTTTTTACTTAATCATACCGTTAAGCTACTGACTGACCGCAAAGCTTAGCCAAAAAAAAATAGAATTAATCCACCAGCCTTTTTTCAGATGGTTATCCGCCTTCATCGGCCTCGTCATCATCGGCTTTTGCCTATTGCTTATTCCTTCAGCCACTTCCGTCGGGGGCCTGATTATCCCGCATCTTTTCATGGGCTTCTCGATCGGTAGGCGGCTTTGCATTGAATTTAATAGTCTATAAAAACTTAACTTTTTTAGGTAGTTTTAGTGTGGGTGTCGGGTTCGAAACGTATTTTTAGGTATGATCGACGCGTCGATGTTCCCATTGATGGGTCATCTGGTGGACCTCCGCCACGTCGGAGTCTACGGCAGCATTTACGCGATAGCTGACGCGGCTTTCTGCTTTGCATTTGCACTTGGGCCCTTCTTCTCCGGACCCCTGGTTCGGTCAGTTGGATTCCCGACGTGGGTTTCGATACCGTAAACTGGGCAACTTCGAATACTGAATTGTGAAATGGATACTGAACACTAGCTTTTCTAATTCATTGAGTTTCCATTAAAACCCTATAAAGCTGCGCATAAAACTTTAGAAACCCCATTTTTAGTATGATGTACATAATCGCGATCATCAACTTTATCTACGCGCCGTTGATGTTCATGCTGAGGAGTCCACCACCGATTATTCGGGAGAACGAGGTAAGGAATAGGCGTCCTGTTAGACAAAATGGAAGACTCCATCCCTTAAAATTACAGTACAGGCACTTGGTTGAAATTGTGAAGTAAGTCTGCATCGGAATTACGTTAAAGTTTCAAACCACGTATAAAATATCTTGAAACTTCAATATCCAGCTTATCAGTCTTTGTGATTTATAAAACATGGCACTAAGTGGCTTTGATGCCACTATTTATGAAAAATACAAGCTTATTTTGTTCATCAACTGGTTTTCGGTATTCTCGAAATCTTTGATTTTGAAATGAAGACATGCACATCAGCCTCACCAGTATAGCGACAAATCTAGTTTATCCATTCTTGATATGTTGATAGAAGAGCATACAGCACAATTCTGTTAAAACTTTTCGGTTGAAAACTTGATTTTCGGTATTTTCCATACTATGCGGATTTCGCTTTTTATCAAACCTATCATCCAATTGATTTGCATTTTTGATCAATTTCTAATTGATTTATTTAATTCTGTTAATTGCCTTTTTAGGCAAGTGCCGTATCAAATGGCGTGACGGCCCAACTCCCGGCTACTAATGACAACTACCAAAAAATTGAGGGAACCGATGCGGCACGGATGCAGGGGTATCAATACGAATACTAACCGGAGGACACTGTGTGTTTTTTGTTATATTTCATGCTTGTATAATTTATTCAGATGTCACTTTATTCACAGCAATAGTTTCAGCTTTACAAAATTTTTCATTGCCTTTTTTTTTAAAAATTAGCCAAATTAATTTTCTTTTATTTTTTATTTAAATTTTGATATAGTCAATTGTATTTTTGAATATTTTATCATTTTTCTACACGTAGTGGACTATAAATAAGGTTTGACGTATCCGGTTTTGAAAATTCAATTTTTTTCAGGAGAATTAGACTATCAGAAAATTAGGGGTCCCATTAGTGCGTTGGAATTCCACAATTTTATTTTATTTTATGCAAATTTGCTATTAATTTATTTTTATTCGATGATTGCTGTACTTTTTTAATTTTGCCTGGTCTTACCTAATTTTTTTGGTAACTTTTATAATGTGGATTTTCCATTTTTTTCCTGTCGCCATCACTCACCGTTTCTCTTGCTATCTCTTGACTTATTTTTTCTAGATCTTCACCATCCATTTAGAGCATTAAAATCCACCGTATTCTGTACTTCCGCGTCGCTCGGCAAACCAGCAGTGGAGGAGGTCTCCACTCATCTATGAATCTCGCTTCTCGGTGCCATCTCTCTTTTCTTAGTGTTGCCCCGTTGAATCTAGTCGTTTTTTCCTTAATTTTAGTTTTATGTAAGGAATAAAGGTATTTGATTACGGTATGAAAAGAGACCACACAATATTACTTACAGAAAATGGCGACGCAACACGCGACGCAACACGCAACGCAACCGACGATAAAGTGCCCCGCAGAGTATTTGAAATTTGGTTGCACTTAAAAAATAAGCATTTGCATTTTGCAAATTTTAAGAGTATTTGTAATGTATTAAAAGCTGGTCTAGTAGTCAAAAAATAACTTTAATGAAATTCAAGGTACATACTTTTAGATTTAACTGGCAAATGTAAGCAAGTAACGCAGCACGTACGTAACGCGCAAGGCATCACGGAATGGACCGGACCGCAGCGTAGTTCGCAATTGATTAGGCGCTGAGGATATGGAGCAAATGTTGAGGGTATTTCTCGTCTAGTAAAATGTGTTTTTTATTAGTAAAGTGCTAACTTTAATCTAGTTATTCAAGTCAGGGCCTGTGAGGTTAGAAGTAGATTCGTTTTATTTTATTTTTTTTTTTTTTTTTTTGTTTTTCATTTTTTTTTTTTTTTTATTTTTTTTTTTTTTTTTTTTTTTTTTTTTTTTCCTTTTTTTTTTTTTTTTTTTATTTATAAATTTTTTAAAATAAAAAAAAAAAATTAAAAAAAAAAATATCCCCGTTCCCCCCCCCTTTCTCCCCCCCCCCCCCCGAATCCCCCCCCTTTTTTTTTCCCTCCCAACCCCCTCCACCTGTTGGCCCTCGTGGGTTTTTGGGTGGTTTTTTCCCCCACAAACGGGAGGTGATTCTTTACCCACACAAAAAATATTTTTTTTAATAAAAAAAAATAATTTTTTTTTATTAAATTTATTTTTTAATAAAAAAAAAAAAAAATTTTTTTTTTTTTTTTTTTTTAAAAAAAAAAATAAAAAAAAAAAAAAAAATTTTTTTTTTTTTTTTTTTTTTTTTTTTTTTTTTTTATTTTTTTTTTAAAAAGAAAGGTAAAATAATAAAAAATTTTATATTTAAAAAAAAAATTTTTTTTTAAAAATTAATTTTGTTCCAAACCAAAAAGTAATTGGGTAAAAAAAATTTAAAGTGAAACAGTCCTGGTAGATAATTATCCACTAAAAAATCTACCTCCTATGCCAGAACTTCGGATACGTGACCAAAATACAGTCCGTGCAAAACCCCGGGCAGCACCCGGTGGTCGGCTCCGAAATTCCGCCACGTTAGATGTTTACGTTCTGCCCCATATAGGACAAATTAACAGCTCAAAGTGTGCACAGCAGCCTTCCGGAATTCGGCACCCAAAAGCCGTCCAAAAAAACTGGGAAACTAAATAATTTTTTGCACGGCGGCTTGCCACGACTCGGGCGATGTACCGCAGCGGAATTCGGAATGTTTACGCAGCTACACCTCGCAGATCAGATCGCCACCAACGGTTGGCATCGCGAGGGGGGAACGGCTACCGTACTAGAGTTGCTGCAAGCTTTTGAATTATGATATTTTAAAATTACCATTGATAAGTGGTTCTGAGGTAGATTCCAATATGCTCCGAATTATGACATTTTAAGAACAAAATCTTACATACCTATTAAACGATAAATTATGGCCCAAAAACTTGGGACTATCCAATCGCTACGAGCCCTGGCTATATTTGTCGTTTTGCTGTACCATTTGAATGAGCGATGGATGCCGCATGGTTTTTTGGGAGTGGATATGTAAGAATTTAAAGCCTTGCTCAGATTTCTGAATTTATAAGCCAAGTCAAAATTAAACTCAAGCAAATTCCGTATCGTAATTCGTCCAGGGGGAATCTGCTTATTTAAGAAAGGCTAACTTTTTTGAAGCTGAAGTTGTCGTTGGAAAATGACTTTCAGAGCCTAGTGAAATCAAGATCAATTAAAGGGGTTGAGTCGCCAGTATCGACCCCTTGCTTCCACTAGTCTCGACAAATATGAATCGCTAAAATATGGGCAAAATGGTTTTAATTGACCACTAATTGAATGCCGCCGCAAACGTCACTTGTCGTCATGCGTATCCGTCTAGGCCTTGTCGATAAACTGAGATGTTAGAGATTTTCGATTCAAATCTACTCAAAAGCACTTGAGGAAGGCTTTTCGTAGTGGTCACTTTTTGGCGGTAGAAGCCTAGCCGACGTAAAGGCTCTATTTTCATACAATCCTCTAAACCTGCCAAGCTGATTTTTCAGGTTTTTCGTCATCTCCGGCTACCTGATGGCCCGAATATTCTTCAACAAGGGTCTATCCCTTGAAAATATGCTCGAATTCTACAAGAGACGGTTTAAGAGGATTATGCCTTGCTATGGGTAACCCCGGAAACCCCCAGCCAAGTTGATTTTCCTAGAATTTGCATCGCTACCGTAGTCTGGGCCGGGCAGTTGGCATTGTCAGATGTGGATAAGGAGAACTTGTTTGCGGATTCATGGTTTTCACTAGCAATTTCGTCGAATTTACAACCGTTTTTTGAGAAGATCGACTACTGGAGGATGGTAAGGAGGAGCTTTTTAAAGGGAGGGTGACAGGAAGAGTCAGCGGTCCGGCGCAGACCGGATGGTCAGAGTAATCGTCATTCTAGTCATTTTTAATCATAATTTATCGTTTTCTGACTTTAAAATTGGTTAAAATAAGGAGGTTAAGGAGTTTCTAGAGCAGAATATACTAAAAATACGGTAACCTACCTGCTTTAGATCTCCGAATACAAATTCTTGGCCCATACCTGGTCGCTGGGATGCGAGATGCAATTCTACCTAATCGTTCCCATTCTTTTCTGGCTGTTGCGCAAATTTGAGTACGGCGGGCAAGCAATTCTCACCACAATTTTGGCTATTTTTTCTATGATTTTAACTTTGGTAAGCTATACTTTTAGTTGTATCTAATTTAAGGTATAGGTGCTACCGCCCGGCGAGGCATTCGGCTTCGTCCTCTGTCGACTTTGGCAATTTCTGATCGGCATTTTTGTGCATCTGCATATTTTGGAAAACGCCGAGTCGGAATCGGCTAATCCGGGCTACGAAAAATTGGCATTGTTAGAGGAAGAGGCTGGGAAATCAGAGATATGCTATGGTAATGTGTACAGATTAGAAAAACTACAGTTTTTAGGCGATAAATGCGAAGGGAGAGCCGGCTCGATAACTATAATTTGCTTTTTGGCTTGCTTGATTCTGGCAGCAGATCCATTCTTACCGGCCTGGATTTCGAGACCCGTTGTTACGGTGTTAACCGGAATAATTATACGATATTCACAGATAGGTAAGGAGAGGAGAGAGAGAGAGAGACAGGGAGAGAGAGGGGGAGAGTGAAGTAGGCGAAGAGGGGGGATATGGAGAGAGAGGAGAGAGCAGGAGAGGAGGTGAGTAGAGGGATAGAGAGATATCAAGTAAAAACAACCAATTCCAGCCGAAACAAAATGGCTAACCTTCCAACCCCTTCCCTATATCGGCGATATCTCCTATGTAATGTACCTCATCCACTGGCCAGTTATCACTTTTGCCAAAGAATTATACTACGACGGGATCGATATTGACGCATACGGTAGTCATGAAATTTAAAACCAAAAAGCCGGATTTTTAGGCTACGGCATGATGGTTGTCCTAACCATCACATTGACGATTTTGGCTCATCAT